TTCTCCACATTTTAGTTCTCCGGGAACACGAACACCTTCAGGTTTCTGTCCTTTCAGGAAGGGAGGCCTGAGAAAGGGCTGAGAGCAGCAGGCAATCCAGTCTGCGTATTAGAACATGCAGGCGTAGAAGCCAACTGGGAGTCGCTGGGCAGGGGGTGTGTTTTCTACAGCAGCATTGGTAGTCACACTGGATACTGGTACAATTTCAGGTGACAAATTAAATCTGCTTCCCCTCTTTTTATTTTTATTTTTTTTAAGCAACCACAGAAAGAAATGAACTTGGTCAGTTCTCCCTGGTTGGCTGCCTTAGGGTCTGCCAAACTTAAATCGGTGGCAGAAAGTTGGTGTATATATGGGATGGGCATTTTTACCAAAGAAGCCAAATCTTACATGTTTATGGGATGGCAGGTGTAGGAGGAAAGAGAAAGGGGGATGGAATTGGCTCCCGCCTAGCATCGATTTGTCCTGACTCAGCTGTTTTCTGAATCATGTTGAAAACAGACCCTGCTCTCCAAGCTCAGACCTAGTGAGATTGCTTGCAGGGCTGAGAATGTCTCCCTCCTGCAAACGTAAAGTAGAATCCAGCACAAGAGCATCATCCAGTGCATTGTGGACTGGGATGCAGGCTGCAGAGCAAAACACAACATTCTGTACAATTTAGGGACAAATTTTGTAAATAGGAATGTGAGAGATTAACAGCCCTGGCACAGAACAGGACACAGAATAGAGTTTTCAATTCACCATAGTCAAGAAAGTATAATAAATACTAGAACTTTACAGAAGCAAAGTCTAAGCCAATAAGGAGAGAATGGGCACTTGTGCGTGTGTGCCTGTGTGTGTGTGTTTTGTTTTTTTGGTATTGGGGATTGAACCCTGGGGTTCTCAACCACTGAGCCACATCCTCAGCCCTTTTTAATATTTCATGTAAAGACGGTGTCTCTCTAAGTTGCTTAGGGCCTCACTAAGTTGCTGAACTTGCAATCCTCCTGCCTCAGCCTCCACAGCTGCTGGGATTACAGGTCTATGCCACTGTGAGCTGGGCATTTAAGAATTTTCAGAAAACAAATAAATATGTCCCCAATATCATTTTAAATTAGAATCAGAAATTGTAATTTTTGCATATGATGTCTTAAAAATATAAAGGCATAAATTCAAGAAGAGAAGTTAATAAATGATTAAGGCTTCAATCTAGGAAACTAACATAGAAAAAGGAGGGACCAAAAGAGGTCTACATTGCCCTTGGGACTCAGGGGCAATCATGATTTTGCAGAGAAATATCTGTGTTCCTATGTTACAGACCCTGTAAGTGACATTACTGACATTGGTTGTACTTTCTTCTTTGCTGCTAGGAAGCACTGAGCCATGTTTGCGTTCCATTTCATGTTATGTTGTGATAAGTTATTTGCATAACTAGCAATATCCACAATGCAGAGTCACTGAGAGAATTACAGCAAGTAGCCAGGAGTGGGTAGGGATGCGGCTCAGTGGTAGAGTGCTGTCTTGGCACGCACAAGGCCCTGAGTTCAATTCCCAGCATTGCAAAGAAAAGTTAAAAAGCAACAAGAAGGTACTAAATTCAAGATGGTGATTATGACAAACTGGCACATGCCTGTAATCCAAGCTGCTTGGGAGGTTGAGGCACGAGGATCACAAGTTCAAAGCCAGCCTCAGCAACTTAGTGAGGTTGTAAGCAACTTAGTGAGACACAGTCTCAAAATAAAAAGGACTGGTGATGTGGCTCAGTAGTTAAGCACTCTGAGTTCAATCCCTGTTACTAAAAAAAGAAGAAAGAGAGATAGATAGAGAGAGAGAGAGAGAGAGAGAGAGAGAGAGAGAGAGAGAGAAATAAGTGAGAGATTATCATTCTTGTTATTATTGGCCAAAGTTAAAAAAATCAGTGATCTCTATTTTTATCTGCAAAATGTAAAATAGCTTTATGTGCATGTCACTGAAACTTTGCACAGAGGGTCAGCTAAAGATTCTACTGACCCAAGCACAGGGGGTACTCATCTTTGCTAATTAAAAGTGTGTGAGTACCATCGAGAGTTTCTGTATTAGCGATTTGACAATAATCTTTGAGAGCAAATCTGATTTTCTTTTTTTTAATTAATTATACATGATGAATCTTATTTTCTCATATCCTACTACTTATCTTACTTCTGATTTCTTTTTTTTTAACTTTCTATTTCACATATCTTTGCAATCACCTCCAATCTCCCTTTTGAAAATAATGATTTAAACACTGCTCTGGTCATTGCCAGAGGTTCCCCTCTGTGCTGTGGGGAGTCCCTGCTGACTGACTCTTAGTTTTTATTTACTCAAATGAATATATATGTGTGTGTGTGCAATACATAGAAAAGTAACATATAACATGTGCAATGACCACATGGCCTCACTCTCAGAGGATTCTAATTTGCTAGTTTCCTGCAGGGGTGAGTCCTGAAAGCAGGGTGTCCTGAGAGGCCTTGGCTGGTCAGGATGTGAGAGATGGTCAGTTGCTCCTACTGTTCTCTCTTTGCTCTTCTTTGTTTTGGGGGCCATGTCTGCCTAATCCCCAGCTTCTTCCTCTCTTTTGTTTAGTAACTGTGGCCACCTGGTCTGCAACACAGCACAGTTCCAGATCCCAGAACCAAAACTGGCCCAAGGCAGAAATTTTCTACCCACACTATCCATTGATGACTGATAAGACAGAGGGGGGAAGTTGCTAGTGGTTTCTGAACTTCTGTTTTGAGTGCAGTTCAAGAAATTTAAGCATTAGAGTCTCTCAGGCGAGTGAGCTTCCTCTAAGTCCCTATACCTAATTTTGTTTTCATAACTATGTATACTTTTTCATGTTTTTATTATTAGTGCATTTTAACTATACATAATGTATTCTTTTCTTAAAGAGAATGTTTTCCTCACACAAATTCCAACATTTTCAAAGACCCACAAAACCTGCTTCTACCCCTGGTTCTGGGGTCTATTATTTTGCTCCTTGATAAAAGTAGGAGATGTGCAAAGAGAAGCTACACCCTTTCTTTCCTGCTTTGTGATGTTCTGAGGGAGTGTGATGCTTGGAGCTGTAGCAGCCATTTTGTGGCCTTAAAAGGAAAATCAGAAGAATTGTAATGGAGTTAACTTGGGGTCTGAATTAAACAACCTTGGAACGGCCTACCTCTAGACTTTCAGTTAAGCAAAAGAGTAAATCTTTGTTACTTCAGCCATTATTCAAACAGCCTATGACTTACAACCAAGGGCATCTTAATCGATACACTTAGGTCTCCCTCATTGTGGTGCTTTAGTCACTCATTGGAAAGATCTACATCTTCTTGCTGGATGAGCTGCTACTGAGATACCATAGTTACTTCCCAGACAGAACCCTTGCCAACCTAGAAGGAACCTCCCTTTTTTCCATGACCAGGTCACTGGACTTCCACTCCTAGCTAGAGCACTCCACCAGCCCCTCCCCACTGCTACTAGAGGGATCCAAAGCTGTTCCCATGGACGTAAGTGGTACCTCGCTGTCGTCCAGCATCTCCATGGGAAGCTCTGGCTTTGCACTCCCCTACCTCATCCAGTTTTCCACCAAACTACCCAAATCACCCTGCTTTCTTCAGTCTCCCTCTCTACCATAAACTTTCAGGGTATTTGGTTTCAGCTAAATAAGAGAAAGTAAACAATAGAGTCACATATTCAGGCTAAGACACGAGTAGAAGCAAACTGTGAATTGATCCTCATGGTTTATTTACTTTTAAAATTCAAAGCAACTCCACTGGAATTTTTATAAAATAAAAGAAGTTGCAAAAGTGAGCTCTGTTGCTTGTTTACCAATCAAGTCACACTCCAGGCATCAACCCAGGTGGCCCAGTGCATGCGTATTAAATGCACAACCCTAGAAACCACCATAAAGGACCATGTGGGGGTCTCCACAGCTTCCCTTCAGGTGAACTCCTAACAGTGAGACAAAGTGAGGAGAACTGCTTTGGGTCTTCGGGAGACAGTGTTAGTGGACACAGGAACCCTCTCAGAGACCTTCTAAACCACCTGGCATAGGAAGGGACACTCTGGGGCACTGTTGCCTCTGCACTGTGGGGCCAAAGTTTCTATCGAGATCTGCTGTGTTCTCAGTTCCTCTAGGACTAGGGGCTCCTCTTTACCTGCCAGCACAGGAGAGAGACTTGGTCCTGAATAACTGAAGTTCATGTCCCAGATCCCCCATTTTTCCACCCGCAGGCCTCTGGACTTCTACTCACTCACCCAGTCCATATTTTTCCCCTGGTCACCCCCTGCTCTGTCTCCCCCTCTTCTGGGTTATTTCGAGTCTCAGGTCTCATCATCATGGGTCTCAACAACCACTCACATGGGGCTCTTTTCTACCCTGTCATCTGATCTAAATGCAACCCGCCATCAAATTCATATCTAAAATAACCCACGTCCTCTTCAGGAATTGATCCTGAACATGATGTGACCTCAGGTTCCCCTGAAGGTCAGGTCCCCACAGCATAAGCTGATGCGAGACCCTGGTGAGCCTGGAATCGGGCAGACTGGGAAGAGGCTGTTGGAGTCATTCAGGCACCAGGTGACTAGGGTTGGAGCCCAAAATACAAGATCATCCTTGTGAAATCAAGCTGGCATCTGGGGGACCTGGATCTGCACAGTCCCGTCTGCCAAACATTTCTCTTAAAGGTGAAAGCAATGAGCTTCTCTCCGCTTTCTACTTCCCCAGAGCAATTGCTTGGGTTCACAGTAATTGTTCCGCTTTAAACAGAACAGGTTACATGGAAAGCGGCAATAATTGAGTTAAGGCCTGTTTGTTAAACTCCAGCGAGGCTGGTGCCACAGAGTCTAAACCGTGACCCTGGGTTTGCGTCTGCAGTTTGTGTCCACAAAGTCACCTGATGGAGGCTTTTGATTCCCCTAGAAAGGAAAGAATGCCAGGAACGATACCTCGGTGGAGACATCTCTTATGTGTCAGAGCAGAATTTGTAGCATGAACAAAGTGTGGTGTGTTTTATAATTACCTCTGCTATGAACCACCCTTCATCGGCCACTAAAGTCAAAGGAGAGACAAATTTCCCTCTCTTGTAATAGAACCTGTTTGGTATGGCTTCCTTCTCATACACGGTCATGTGTTCCACTTGGCTCAGTTTGTCATATATCTGCAAAGAAAACAGAGAACAACCAGTTTTGCATTCTCTTTCTTCAATATATTGAATCTATGGAATGGGAGAATCTATTTTAAAGACCAAGCAGAGATATTACCAAACATCTGGTAGATTTGACTATGTAAAAATGAGAGGGTTTTATACAGCTTTGAAAATAGGCTGACCTTATCTAGTAAGGCTGAAGATCCATGTCCCTGTGATCTAAGAAGTTCATCCCTAGGGATAGATAATCTTTTTTTTTTTTAATGTTTATTTTTTAGTTTTTGGCAGACACAACATCTTTGTTTGTATGTGGTGCTGAGGATCGAACCCGGGCCGCACGCATGCCAGGCAAGCGCGCTACCGCTTGAGCCACATCCCCAGCCCGGGATAGATAATCTCTCATGTGCCTGGACCTATAAACCTACAGAAGAGCCCAGACACCCAGCCACAGTGGAAGGGATAAAGAAAGACTACTGAGGTTTGTGGTAGAATACTACACAGATGAATGGAATACTGCTACAAAGAAAAAGGGATCTCAGTTTGAGGAAAATTATGCAAGTTGCAGAAAAATACAGGCAATACCATTTTTATTATATAAAGTTCAAGTAACCTATAAAAACAAACAATACATACGGCAAAACTATAAAGAGAATTGCAAAAATGGTAACTTAAAATTTAGGAAAGTGATTTCTTCTGAGACTAGAAAAGGTGATAGGTTTCAGAAGGACATGAAAGTGATGTCACCAATAATAGTAATGTTGTACTTCTTAAATATTCAGTGAATATAAGGAAACTGTTACAATATCATTCTTTGTATGTTGTACACATTATGATAATCCTTTTTATACACTCAACAACTAGTGAGCACTTTGCAAAAATTTATTGATGTCAAAATTTTGTACAATAAAATTGAAAGACAAATGAGGAATTATCTTAATGTTAAATACCCTAAAGATCAAAGAAAAAGCATGCACTCTTTAACCTGACCTAAGGAGCATATCCTACCTACACATGAATCTTAAAAGTACTAGTAGTTGAGCTAAACTGTGGAACCAACCTAGATGCCCTTCGATAGATGAATGGATAAAAAAAAAATGTGGCATATATACACAATGGAATTTTACTCAGCAATAAAAGAGAATAAAATCGTGGCATTTGCAGGTAAATGGATGGAGTTAGAGAAGATAATGCTAAGTGAAGTTAGCCATTCCCAAAAAACCAAACGCCGAATGTTTTCTCTGATTTAAGGAGGCTGACTCATAGTGGGGTAGGGAGGGAGAGCATGGGAGGAATAGATGAACTCTAGATAGGGCGGAGGGGTGGGAGGGGAAGGGAGAGGGCATGGGGTTATTCATGATGGTGGAATGTGATGATCATTACTACCCAAAGTACAGGTATGAAGACACAAATTGGTGTGAATATACTGTGTATACAACCAGGGATATGAAAAATTGTGCTCTATATGTATAATAAGAATTGTGATGCATTCCACTGTCATATATAAATAAAAAAATACTAGTAATTGTTTGTTAACTACATCGATGATTTCATAACAAAAACATAAACTTGGTACATCTGTTCAATATTTAGCAGCAGCTTAAATATTTATAGTTAACATTAAAATCAACTGGCTGATGTTGACTTGCTGGTCTTTAGCCAAACCGGGCATACATTCCTCTGTATTGCTGAATATAAAATTGAGTTTATCAACTCAAGTGTGAAAAAGAATTAGTCTTTAGGATGTTTAGCAGAGGGTTTCTGATGAGCCCACAAGTTAAGCTATGATACTTAAGAAAACCCAGAGTTCTTCAGGAAAGTAGGATTCACATGCAGGAGGATTTGGAGTAAATGAAAATCTGGAGACACACAAGAGGCCTCGCAAACCTGACAAACTGTCACCCAACTTTTGAGCAATCTAGTGACTGCTATAGACTGCTTGCAGGCTAAAGGTCACTTGACTTAAACATCACATTCGACAAAGCTCTTCCCAGCTTGTAGGCTGCTGGTACCGAGTGTTGTGGAGACGGCACTCTTCTAAGTGCCAATTGGAGACAAAGATGATCTTCCTCACCAAGAAAACAGAACTCCTCTCAAGAACCTGCCCATGTGAAAAATACCCTTTTCGATGGCATATTTAGGGAATTCATGGGGACGTTGTGTGAACATAGCCAGCACCTTCGTTCTCTGACCACAGAGCCTGAGAAGAGAGGAGCACCTCCCACTCCCAGGTAAATGGCATGAGTCTGGGGAGTCCTGACATTGTTGCCAACTGTCTCCCACCAATGAGACTAAGTATTGAGCACTAATAGCCTCGTGCCACAAGATGGACGGAGCCAGTGGCCCCAGGGCCTCTTCCTGGCTCCCTATGGTTGACAACCTTAACCAGCAGCGGCCTCACCTTCCCTGAGAAAGACAGCTTCTTCCTGGTCCTGATCAGTTTTATCTGGGCCTGGGCAGAAGCTCCCTAGCCTGTACAGGGAGATACCAGCAACTGGAGAGTCAAGTGGTAAGTCAAAGGTGACACTTCTCCATTTTCTCTAAATGGCTTCCCACCTACTTCCAGGCACAATTATTGTTTTGAGAAAATGGTACTCAAGGTCTAATCACCTCAAGGTTTTCCAGAAAGGTAGCGGCAGAGCTTTGTCCCCCATCAGCACACTGTGGAGACTCAACCACCCTCTTGAGGACATTCCACTTAGACAGTGATCATCATAATAAGAGACCCATGCAGCATCATTGCAGAGGGCCTAGCACACTTCTGTGAGCTCCCATGAACTCTCAGTAGTAGCAAGGGACAACTGTAACGATGTTGTCACATCAACATATAGAAAAGCAACAGAGATCCTGGGTAAGTGTTTTGCCTGATGCTCAGATGATGGTAGAGCTGGCATTTGGACCCCAGGGCTGTGGCTCTGAGATAGAGACCCGAGCCTCTGCACACGGGGCCTCCCTCTGTGGTTCAGCACGTTCATATCTCCAGTTCCCTGCTGAAAACAGCTTATTTCCAGAGAAAGAGCATTCTGTCTGCCTCAGCGAGTCCCCTTATTTACCTAAAAAATAATGTTTTATAGCCAATAATAAAATAGCCGTAATCAGGGCTTGCCACGTGTGCTGGTCGCCTGCTGAGTACTGCACATCCTTGAATTTATTTGACTTTTATAAAGTAGATATCATTACAGAGAAACCACTGGGGTAGATACCATTCTAGAGAAGGATGGAGCCAGGGAAAATGAACCACTTGATCACTTGGTGAGTGAATGGCAAACTAGGTCACCTGCCTTCACAGTCTAAGCACCTAATGCTAAAATATATTTCAATATTAAAACTATAGGAGAGGACTCAGTCAGTAGAGGGCTTGCCTCACATACACAAGACCCTGGGTTCAATCCCCAGCACCACAAAAAAAAAAAAAAAAAAAAAAGCCAATGTAATGCCAGTCTCAGCAATTTAGCAAGGACCGAAGCAACCTAGCAAGACCCCATCTCAAAAAAGGGCTTGGGATGAGGCTCAGTGGTTAAGCACTCTGGGTTAATCCCCTGTACCCCCCCAAAAAAAAATTAAATTAAAAAAATTATAAGAGCCGCCCCCTCCCCCGGCGCCTGCAAGGTAGGCGGAACTGTGACCACCGACAGAACAGGCCCAGCGGCCTGCTGAGGGGCAGAGCCGCCCCCTCCCCCCGCGCCTGCAAGGTAGGCGGAACTGTGACCACCAACAGATCAGGCCCAGTGGCCCGTGGAGGGGCAGAGCTGCCAATCATGCCTGCAAGGTAGGCGGACCTCCGACTCCCTGGCAGAACAGGCCCAGCAGCCTGCTGAGGGGCAGAGCCGCCCCCTCTCCCCGCGCCTGCAAGGTAGGCGGAACCGTGACCACTGACAGAACAGGCCCAGTGGCCCGCGGAGGGGCAGAGCTGCCCCCCACGCCTGCAAGGTAGGCGGACCTGTGACCCACCGGCAGAACAGGCCCAGCATCCCACGGAGGGGCAGAACTGCCCCACGCGCCTGCAAGGTAGGCGGACCTGCGACCACCAACAGAACAGGCCAGACCTGCAACCGAAAGGCAGAACAGGCCCAGCGGCCAGCGGAAGGGTAGAGCCACCCCCCCCCCCGCGCCTTCAAGGTGGGTGGACCTGCGACCCACTGGCAGAACAGGCCCAGTGTCCTGCAGAGGGGCAGTGCGCTGCCCGTGCCTGCAAAGTAGGCAGAACTGCGACCACCAACAGAACAAGCTCAGCGGCCCCCAGAGGGGCAGAGCCGCCGCCCACGCCTGCAAGGTAGGTGGACCTGCTACCGACCGGCAGAACAGGCCCAGCGGCCTGCCGGCGAAGTAGGCACATTGCCCCAATTGGAGGAGGGGCATAGCCGCCGCGTGCGCCTGTGAGGGAGACTTTGCAACTATACAAGAGCAATATAAATATATAGGGGGAAAACTCAATAGCACAACAGTTACACCAAGCAGAAAGAAACGCGAACAGTATGAAGAGACAAGGAAAGAAAGGACCACAAGCAATGCAGGTCAACTCAACGTTAGAAGAGGTAATAGCTGCAGCAGATGGAATGTCAGATAAAGAATTCAGGATATACATGCTTCAGATGATCTGGAGTCTCAAGGAAGACATCAGACAGCAAAATCAGACAATGAAGGATCACTTCAACAATGAATTACATAAACAAATCCAAGAAGCAAAAGATCAACTATACAGGGAGATAGAGGTTATAAAAAACAAACAAACAGAAATCCTAGAAATGCAGGAAGCAATAAACCAACTTAAAAACTCAATTGAGAATACTACCAGTAGAGTAGAACACTTAGAAGATAGAACATCAGACAATGAAGACAAAGTATTTCAATTTGAAAAGAACATAGACAGCTCAGCAAGACTGTTAAGAAACCATGAGCAGAACATCCAAGAAATATAGGATAACATAAAGAGACCAAACTTAAGAGTCATTGGGATACAGGAAGGGATAGAGGTTCAAACCAAAGGAATGAGCAATCTATTCAATGAAATAATACGAGAAAACTTCTCAGACTTGAAGAATGAGACAGAATCCCAAATCCTAGAAGCCTGCAGGACGCCGAATGTGCAAAATCATAAGAGATCCACACCTAGACACATTATAATGAAGATGCCCAACATACAGAATAAGGAGAGAATTTTAAAAGCTACAAGAGAAAGGAAGCAGATTACATTTAGGGGTAATCCAATCAGGATAACAGCTGATCTTTCAACACAGACTCTGAAAGCTAGAAGATCCTGGAATAACATATTTCAAACACTGAAAGAAAATGGGTTCCAACCAAGAATTGTGTATCCAGCAAAATTAAGCTTCAGGATAGAAGATGAAATTAAAACCTTCCACAATAAACAAAAGTTAAAAGAATTTGCAGCTAGAAAACCATCTCTTCAAAACATCCTCGGCAAAACATTACAGGAAGAGGAAATGGAAAATAACAATGAAAACCAACAGTGGGAGGTAGGACACTAAAGGGGGGAAAATAATCAAAGAGGAAAACAAACCATGTTTAGTAACATAAATAAACAAATATGGCTGGAAGAACAACCCATATCTCAATAATAACCCTAAATGTTAATGGCTTAAACTCACCAATTAAGAGACACAGGCTAGTAGAATGGATCACAAAACAAGACCCAACAATATGCTGCCTACAGGAGACGCATTTGATAGGAAAAGACATACATAGGCTGAAGGTGAAAGGTTGGGAAAAATCATATCACTCATATGGACTTCGGAAACAAGCAGGAGTGTCCATACTCATATCAAATAAAATAGATTTCAAGCCAAAGTTAATCAAAAGGGATAAAGAGGGACACTACATACTGCTCAAGGGAACCATACACCAACAAGACATAACAATCATAAATATATATGCCCCAAACAATGGTGCAGCTATGTTCATCAAACAAACTCTTCTCAAGTTCAAGAGTCTAATAGACCACCATACAATAATCATGGGAGACTTCAACACACCTCTCTCACCACTGGACAGATCTTCCAAACAAAAGTTGAATAAGGAAACTATAGAACTCAATAACACAATTAATAACCTAGACTTAATTGACATATATAGAATATACTACCCAACATCAAGCAGTTACACTTTTTTCTCAGCAGCACATGGATCCTTCTCAAAAATAGATCATATATTATGTCACAGGGCAACACTTAGACAATATAAAGGAGTAGAGATAATACCATGCATCTTATCTGATCATAATGGAATGAAACTAAAAATCAACGATAAAAGAAGGAAGGAAAAATCATGCATCACTTGGAGAATGAACAATAGGTTACTGAATGTTATACAAGACATCAAGAAGGAAATTAAAAAATTCTTAGAGATAAATGAAAACACAGACACAACATATCGGAATCTATGGGACACATTGAAAGCAGTTCTAAGAGGAAAATTCATTGCGTGGAGTTCATTCCTTAAAAAAAGAAAAAACCAACAAATAAATGATCTCATACTTCATCTCAAAATCCTAGAAAAAGAAGAGCAAAACAACAGCAAAAGAAGTAGAAGGCAAGAAATAATTAAAATCAGAGCTGAAATTAATGAAATCGAAACAAAAGAAACAATTGAAAAAATTGACAAAACTGAAAGTTGGTTCTTTGAAAAAATAAATAAAATCGACAGACCCTTAGCCATGCTAAGGAAGAGAAGAAGAGAGAGAACTCAAATTACTAGCATACGGGATGAAAAAGGCAATATCACAACAGACACTTCAGAAATACAGAAGATAATTAGAAATTATTTTGAATCCTTATACTCCAATAAATTAGAAGATAGTGAAGGCATAGATAAATTTCTTAAGTTATATGATCTGCCCAGATTGAGTCAGGAGGATATAGACAACCTAAACAGACCAATATCAATCGAGGAAATAGAAGAAACCATCAAAAGACTACCAACTAAGAAAAGCCCAGGACCGAATGGGTATACAGCAGAGTTTTACAAAACCTTTAAAGAGGAACTAATACCAATACTTTTCAAGCTACTTCAGGAAATAGAAAAAGAGGGAGAACTTCCAAATTCATTCTATGAGGCCAACATCACCCTGATTCCTAAACCAGACAAAGACACTTCAAAGAAAGAAAACTACAGACCAATATCTCTAATGAACCTAGATGCAAAAATCCTCAATAAAATTCTGGCGAATCGGATACAAAGACATATCAAAAAAATTGTGCACCATGATCAAGTGGGATTCATCCCTGGGATGCAAGGCTGGTTCAATATACGGAAATCAATAAATGTTATTCACCACATCAATAGACTTAAAAATAAGAACCATATGATCATCTCGATAGATGCGGAAAAAGCATTTGACAAAGTACAGCATCCCTTTATGTTCAAAACTCTAGAAAAACTAGGGATAACAGGAACATACCTCAATATTGTAGAAGCAATCTATGCTAAGCCTCAGGCTAGCATCATTCTGAATGGAGAAAAACTGAAGGCATTCCCTCTAAAATCTGGAACAAGACAGGGATGCCCTCTCTCACCACTTCTGTTCAACATAGTTCTCGAAACACTGGCCAGAGCAATTAGACAGACGAAAGAAATTAAAGGCATAAAAATAGGAAAAGAAGAACTTAAATTATCACTCTTTGCAGCTGACATGATTCTATACCTAGCAGACCCAAAAGGGTCTACAAAGAAACTATTTGAGCTAATAAATGAATTCAGCAAAGTGGCAGGCTATAAAATCAACACACATAAATCAAAGGCATTCCTGTATATCAGCGACAAATCCTCTGAAATGGAAATGAGGACAACCACTCCATTCACAATATCCTCAAAAAAAATAAAATACTTGGGAATCAACCTAACAAAAGAGGTGAAAGACTTATACAATGAAAACTACAGAACCCTAAAGAGAGAAATAGAAGAAGATCTTAGAAGATGGAAAAATATACCCTGTTCATGGATAGGCAGAACTAACATCATCAAAATGGCGATATTATCAAAAATTCTCTATAGGTTTAATGCAATGCCAATCAAAATCCCAATGGCATTTCTTGTAGAAATAGATAAAGCAATTATGAAATTCATATGGAAAAATAAAAGACCCAGAATAGCAAAAACAACTCTAAGCAGGAAGTGTGAATCAGGCGGTATAGCGATACCAGACCTCAAACTATACTACAGAGCAATAGTAACAAAAACAGCATGGTACTGGTACCAAAACAGGCGGGTGGACCAATGGTACAGAATAGAGGACACAGAAACCAATCCACAAAACTACAACTACTTATATTTGATAAAGGGGCTAAAAGCGTGCAATGGAGGAAGGATAGCATCTTCAACAAATGGTGCTGGGAAAACTGGAAATCCATATGCAACAAAATGAAACTGAATCCCTTTCTCTCGCCATGCACAAAAGTGAATTCAAAATGGATCAAGGAGCTTGATATCAAATCAGAGACACGGTGTCTGGTAGAAGAAAAAGTTGGCTACGATCTACATACTGTGGGGTCGGGCTCCAAATTCCTCAATAGGACACCCATAGCACAAAAGTTAATAACTAGAATCAACAAATGGGACTTACTCAAACTAAAAAGTTTTTTCTCAGCAAAAGAAACAATAAGAGAGGTAAATAGGGAGCCTACATCCTGGGAACAAATCTTTACTCCTCACACTTCAGATAGAGCCCTAATATCCAGAGTATACAAAGAACTCAAAAAATTAGACAATAAGATAACAAATAACCCAATCAACAAATGGGCCAAGGACCTGAACAGACACTTCTCAGAGGAGGACATACAATCAATCAACAAGTACATGAAAAAATGCTCACCATCTCTAGCAGTCAGAGAAATGCAAATCAAAACCACCCTAAGATACCATCTCACTCCAGTTAGATTGGCAGCCATTATGAAGTCAAACAACAACAAGTGCTGGCGAGGATGTGGGGAAAAGGGTACACTTGTACATTGCTGGTGGGACTGCAAATTGGTGCAGCCAATTTGGAAAGCAGTATGGAGATTTCTTGGAAAGCTGGGAATGGAACCACCATTTGACCCAGCTATTCCCCTTCTAGGTCTATTCCCTAAAGACCTAAAAAGAGCATGCTACAGGGACACTGCTACATCGATGTTCATAGCAGCACAATTCACAATAGCAAGACTGTGGAACCAACTTAGATGCTCTTCAATAGACGAATGGATTAAAAAAATGTGGCATTTATACACAATGGAGTATTACTCTGCATTAAAAAATGACAAAATCATAGAATTTGCAGAGAAATGGATGGCATTAGAGCGGATTATGCTAAGTGAAGCTAGCCAATCCCTAAAAAACAAATGCCAAATGTCTTCTTTGATATAAGGAGAGTAACTAAGAACAGAGTAGGGATGAAGAGCATGAGAAGAAGATTAACATTAAACTGGGATGAGAGGTGGGAGGGAAAGGGAGAGAGAAGGGAAATTGCATGGAAATGGAAGGAGACCCTCAGGGTTATACAAAATTTCATACAAGAGGAAGTGAGGGGAAAGGGGAAAATAATACAAGGGGGAGAAATGAATGACAGTAGAGGGGGTAGAGAGAGAAGAGGGGAGGGGAGGGAAGGGGGGATAGTAAAGGATAGGAAAGGCAGCAGAATACAACAGACACTAGTATGGCAATATGTAAATCAATGGATGTGTAACTGATGTGATTCTGCAATTTGTATACGGGGTAAAAATGGGAGTTCATAACCCACTTGAATCAAAGTGTGAAATATGATATATCAAGAACTATGTAATGTTTTGAACAACCAACAGTAAAAAAATTAAAATAAAATAAAGTAAAATAAAATACAAGTAAACTTGAAAAAAAATTATAGGAGAAGATAAAGCACCTTGGGGCAAATTAGGATGCATTTTCCACCCCTCCCCCCATGACGGTGTTTCTTGCCTCAGAATGCTTCCCAGCGGCGGGCCACAGGCTCACAACAGGCCCCCGGTCCTTCACTTGCTGCAGGTCATTCAGGCTGATGTACTCGCTCAGCTCAATCACTTTGTCCATCCAGAAGATGTCCGTCATTCCATGATCTGAGAAAATGATGACATTCAGGTCGTCCTGCAGGCCCCGCTCCTGTGGGGTGGGCAAAGGCAGTCACCACAGCACCTAGAGAGGTTCTTACACTCAAAAGTCTCATGTAGAGGCTTTTAAACTACAAATTAGCTGGGTGCAGTGGCACATGCCTGTAACCCCAGCAACTCAGGAGGCTGAAGCAGGAGGATCACAAGTCTGAGGCCAGCCTTGGGAACTTAGTGAGACCCTGTCTCAAAAAAAATGAAAAGGGCTGGGGATGTAGTTCAGTGGTAGAGTGTTCCATCTCCAGTACAATAAATAAACAAACAAACAAACTACAATTTGTAGGAAAAGGGATATTTCCTCAATTCCAAATTCAGTCATCCACCGGTTTATCCTGATGAGACGCAGTTCAAAATCATGGCAGAACACTTTAGTGGAGAGGATAGGAGAGCACAGCCCCCATCCAAATACATGCTGAAAAATAAGAACAGACTTCTAGCTTTTTAAGGTATACACTGTTTTTATTTTCACTCACTCTTTCAACGAACTCGTGTGGTAATCTAAGAATAATCATCTGCTCACATTACAGATATTTTTTTTAAAAAATGGAAAGGAAAGAAAACCAAAAACAAACAAGAATGAAAACAAAACAGGTGTTTTGAACTCAGGTGTGGCTCCCGTGTCCCCGCCAGGCTGGTTACCACCCGCATGCAGGTTCTGAAGAACAGGGCCAGCTCTCTGGCCAAGCCAGGTGATAATGCTCACCCTGGTCACTTCAACCCCACTGGCCCACTGCGGAAGGGTCTCTGGGTACCTCAGGGGGAGTGGCGTGAAGAAGGGAGAGCCTGGGCTGGCCAGGTAAGAAGGAAGATGCTGAGGGGGTGACAGCCACGGAGACTAGAGAGTGACAGGAGAGTGCCAGGCCAGCTGTCCCTGCTTTAAGTCACCTGGATCCACAGGATCATGTACTTCAGGACGGTGTCCACGGCCTTGAGGGCGTCTTTCCTCTGAGGAGATGAAGGACCATAGTGGTGCCCTTCCACGTCGATGCGCTCGTGGTATATGGCTGCCAGGTCGGCTCGGCCACTCCTGGAGAGAACGGGGAAAGAGAGGCACAGGTGAGGGAGGGCGGCCACTGCCAGCTGCCCCCCTCATCACACCCCTCTGTGAAGGTGTTGGCACCTCCAAAACCCTGCCCTGTGGGTCAGGCAAAGCCCAGACCTCAAAATGAGCAAAGCAGAAGAAGACCAAACCAAGACTTGACAGTCTTTTTTTTTTTTAACTTTGCATTTTTAATGTAATTTTTTATTTATACATGACAGCAGAATGCATTACAATTCTTGCTACTCATATAGAGCACAATTTTTCATACCTCTGGTTGTATATATAGTATAGTCACACCAATTCGTGTCTTCATACATGTCCTTTGGGTAATAATGATCATCACATTCCACCATCATTAATAACCCCATGTCCCCTCCCTTCCCCTCCCACCCCTCTGCCCTATCTAGAGTTCCTCTATTCCTCCCATGCTCCCTCTCCCTACCCCACTATGAATCAGCCTCCTTATATTAAAAAAAAAAAAATTCAGCATTTGGTTTTTTGGGAATGGCTAACTTCACTTAGCATTATCTTCTCTAACTCCATCCATTTACCTGCAAATTCCATGATTTTATTCTCTTTTAGTGCTGAGTAATATTCCATTATGTATAAAAGCCACATTTTTTTTTATCCATTCATCTACTGAAGGGCATCTAGGTTGGTTCCACAGTTTAGCTATTGTGAATGCTCAGAAAGAACTCAACATCCCCCACCAACGAGGAAGCATTTGTTGAGCCCATGTGGTCTTTTGGAAATGACTCTTGCCACCAACCCTAGAAAGCTGGGCGTGGGATGGGACAAAAGCCTCACAGTGAAATTGTGTCACTTGGCCTCTCAATGCACAGCACTCTTTGTCTATGGGTTGACGATGCCTCCAAAGTCCAGGAATGAGGGGAAAACAATCTTACAGAAAGGCATTTACAGATTGTATAGATGAAGAAATGTGCCAAGAAAGTTCTAGAAGTTAGGGAAGGCCTCACAGATCTCTAAGATGCCTCTAGAACAGGAAATGCAAATCTTCTACCTCCAAAGTCAGATGCTTTTAATTCTAACAAACTGGGCCTTTGAACACCCACCTCTACTCCACCCTCTAAACCCGGGAGCAAATTCCCAAGTATGTCCTGCCTGGTATCTTCCTTCAATAGATCATGCACTCTTTATTGTTGCTGTAATATTCTCCTGGGTACTCTGGGATATATTTTATTAAAGGTTTTGAGGATGCATTGGTTTCAAGTTAAGTAAAATGCCTGGCGAAATGTTCTTTTCTCTTTTTAGAACAAAACAAATGGGGCTCTCATTAATAAACCCCATTACCACCCTCCTCCACAATGGGCGTGGGGTTAGGCTTATTATTTGGGTGTTTCTTGCAAATGGTATTCTCATTATTCATACTCGCCAATCTGTGAATGACTAATCCAAACTCTCTCTGCCTCTATACAGAGTTGAGTACAAAAAGTCAGTTTAGGGTCCCACCATGCAGCATGTAGGTGGTGGGTAAAAGTTTGTACTGGGGAATGGCATTTTCATCCATATGCTGAAATTTGTTTGAGGCCCATGTTCATTGGACTGATAGGGCTGAGGTCCCTTCCTCCACCACTATTTTAACGGAGTGGGGGTTTCCATAAAATCTGTCCTGCAGATAAGCCTCAGCATTTGTTTGCTTTCTGCATTTGCATCTTGAGCATTCCACACGTGCTGATTCACACAGGGAATCATCAGTTAGGTGTCTACATTTCATCCAGCATGGGGCTTATACACAGGAAAATCATATTTAATTCAGTAGTGACTTATTACCATTAGGAACTTTTGCAAACAAGGTTTACTGTGCCATTAAGGTTCAGTGAAAAACTTCTAGTTCTCTTCATTTTAACAATTTGCCTTAGTGTAGCAGTCCCTGGGCTGGCTTCTCAAAGGCTATTTACCATATTCATAAATCTCCATGCCATCAGAAAGCTAGTAAGTATCACAATTTACCTGATGGCTCTGTGTCAGAAAGCTGTCAACCCCAGATGCCAGGAACACTTGATTTGGGATGCTTGCAATTCAGGGATTACACATGTGAAAGGTTTCTATGTTCAAGTTTCATTGATTCATTAGGGACCTGAGTCTCCAAGGGCGCAGAGCTCTTGCCTGTTTGGAGCTGAGCAGATAAATTCTTAGTAGCCAGCTGTTTTCCACATGGGTCTGGTCTCCATCACAGGTCAGCTCATTTATAACAGATTGGTTGGGTGAAGAGAGATGGGTGGAAACGCCTGCAGGTCTGCTCTTGGCCATTTACAGCTCTAAGGTCCAGGAACTATGCCAGAAGGACATGTGGCCATCAGCCCAGTTCCCTGAAAGCCATGAGGGGCTCTTAGCCCTGGGGTTTCAGGGACACCTATGTTTCCCATCACCTTGGGATTCTGTCCAAATGTCTTTGCAACGTAAAAAGTTCAAAATATCACGTCCATCTTCCTTACTGAAGTGGTTTAGAAAGAGGTAAAAAAAATAGGGAGAGAGAAGTGGAAGCAATTTACAGAAATGTTTAGTTATTGACTGTTAAGGAAAATGATTCAAATTGCAAATCAGATTTCCAAAATGGCTACCTATCTCTTTAGTATCTTGAGCTTGCTTAAGAATCAGATTTAACTACTGATTAGCATTCAGATTGTGTCAATTTAGCCTTGGACTAGTAGGAAACTGATCAGATGAAAGTGATTTTGTTCTGATATAGAAAGCAGTCCCCCCAAATTATAGTTTTATCATCTTCTGTGTTATTAAGCATTTCTGCTTCCAACAATAATCATATCCCACCATCCTTTGTCTTCAACTGTGTATCTGTTTCTCATGTTCTCTTTCTCACCAGCCTTGTCAGCCACCTGACTCCCTCAGGCAAATTAACTTGAACCCTGGCATAATTCCCAAAGATGCAGTGAGCCCATTTGACAATGTTTAGTTTTGAAAAATTACTTTTTTTTTTTTGTACTGGGGATTGAACCCAGGGGCACTGAACCACTGAACCACATCCCCAGCCCTTTTTATATTTTATTTAGAGACAGGGTCTTGCTAAGTTGCTTAGGACCTCACTAAATTGCTGAGGCTGGTTTTGAACTTGCCATCCCCCTGCCTCAGACTCCCAAGCCACGGGGATTACAGTATGCACCACTGCACTTGGCAAAAATTACCTTTTGATGGGGGTACTGAAACGGCACACATCTGGGTTCACCAACTAGAAGTTCTCAGGTAAATGGTAAAACATCACTAAGCCTCAGTTTCCCCATCTGAAAAGCCTACCCAATACCTCAATTGGGTATTAAATGAGCTGATATTCATCAAGTGGTTGAAGCACTGCAAAAGGGAAGGAAGGGGAAAGAAATGCCCCCCATTTCTCTTCCTTCCAGATGTATCGGACTCCTTTTTCTAGGTATGTGGGCTGAACAGGGTGGAGAACAGAGTCTCTGTCCAGCCTGGGCCTCCCTCTGCGTTCTTGCCCCTTCATTCTCAGTCCAGAGAGGAGGGACCCAGGCCAGGACATTTGAGCCAGCTTCCTGGTGGCCTCAGGGATGAACTCTCTTATCATTCATCTATTTGATTCACACCAGCAGCCACTGAGGTGCTGGGATCCTGGAGGAACTCCTTTGGAGATGTTGGCAATAGGCTGGAGCCTGCAGGGACATCAGCTGTGGCCGCCATTCCCGTAGCCAGTTGTTTCCTGACCGACCCTTTGGTGAGGCTGTGCGATCAGTGTGCCAGGTCCAGCCTGGAAGTGGCTGCCTGGCCCCTACATGCAGCCAAGGCTCACTGTGGCCATCTCCCCCTCACTCCTCCGCCCACCCCATGAGTTATTGAGGGCTTATTTCGACTTTAGCATCGTGCACCTTTTTCTGCCAATTGAACCATGAGTATCTTGCCAACAGAACTTCCAGGAGGATGGATTAAAGGATGTGGATCACAGGCTGCTTTCTTTTTTTGGCAGGCGAGGTGACTGTGTGGGCAGGGGTGCTGTGTGCTGAGTCCCAATGTGTAGTGGCAGGGCACCAGTCGCCAGGGCTATATGCTGCTGAGTGCATAGAGTGCTAAACAGACTGCAAAAGGCCCTGCTCCACTTGGGCCTTGCCAGGGCCCCAAGGCCCAAGATGGCCCCAAAGAAGCAAAGAGGTAATTCTTTACTTGTATGACTCTGTTTCAGGGCATCTTACAGGTGCAGGTTGAGAACAGGATTGGAGGGTGGAAGGAGAGGCCCCAGGAGACAGTCCTAAGCCCCTGTGGAAAGAGCTGTGTGCTCAGTCACACACCTCATAGCATGTGAGATCCAAGGCAAAGGGTTCAACCTTCCAAGTGGGTGGCCTCTTTTGTAAGAGGGGAGAACAACATCTATATAATATGGTGGATGAGAACAAAATGGGGTAATGGAAGTAAAGCCCTTAGATTCTATGCTAGCAAATGGATATTAAAAATGTCAACTTATTCCCCTTCCCCTTTCCTCTGAGCTAAAAAGTTTTCTAAGTTCAAAGGGAACATCTCACGAGGATACTACTGGGATAAACACAGCTTCTGAGCATGAAGGGCAACGCCCAGGTGAAACAGGGTGAAGATTTGCTGCTTCCTGCAGAGACATGCAGCTTCTTGACCCACCTGGACCCTCTGCTGAAATGGCCCTGGGTAGGACTCCATGTTCAAGATCTTAACAGCTTTTCTTTCTTCTCTCAAAGCCTACCTACCTATCCCATATCCCATTCTCTCTGCAAAATGGACAGCGACACTTTATGAGCAGGACTGACCTGGAGTTACGTGGGAGTATGTTTGGACACTTAGGTGCAAAAAGTATTCTCCAAATTATAGTTAGAAATTTGAGTTAGCATTGAACAGACACCAAGAGTTGAGCTGTAGTAGTTTAGACCACTGAGGGCTTTCTGATGGAAGGATAAATATTATGGTTTGGATGTGAGGTGTCCCCCAAAAGCTCACATGTAAGATAATGCAAGAAGGTTCAGAGGAGAAATGATTGGGTTATTGGAGCCTTAACCCAATCAGTGCATTAATCTCCCAATGGGATTAATTGAGTGGTAGTTGGAGGCAGGGGGACGTGGTTGGAGGAGGTGTGGCATTGGGGGTGTGGCTTTGGGGTATATATTTGCATCTGACAAGTGGAGATCTCTTTCTCTGCTTTCTGATCATCATGAGCTGCTTCCCTCTGCCACACTCTCCCACCATTGTGTTCTGTCTCATCTCAAGCCTTGAGGAATGGAGCCAGCTTTCTATGGACTGAGACCTCTGAAACTTTTCTTCCTCCACAATTGTTTTTGTTAGGTCCTTTTGTAACAGCAGTGAAAAAACTGACTAACACAGAAAATAATTATACAACTCTACCTACCATGAAAATTAATGATTTCTTTGAGCCACCTTATTGCATGCACAAGCTGCTACATGCAGAGTGGTTTTGATTGTTCTCAACTGTCCTAGACTGGATGGGGCTATCACCTACTTCACTCCTGAGAAAACAGAGATTAGCTGTTTTTTTAATCAATTTTTTATCAATCAATAAATGGGCCAAGGACCTGAACAGACACTTCTCAGAAGATGATATACAATCAAACAACAAATATATGAAAATAATGTTCATCATCGCAGGTAATTAGAGAAATGCAAATCAAAACTACTCTAAGATTTCCTCTCACTCCAGTCAGAGGGGCAATTATTATGAAGCAAACAACAATAAGTGTTGGCGAGGATGTGGGGGAAAAGGTACATTTATACATTGCTGGTGGGACTGCAAATTGGTGCAGCCAATATGGAAAACAGTATGGAGATTTCTTGGAATATTGGGAATGGAACCACAATTTGACCCAGCTATTCCTCTCCTCGGTCTATACCCAAAGGACTTAAAAACAGTATACTACAGGGACACAGCCACATCAATGTTTATAGCAGCACAATTTACATCAGCTAAACTGTGGAACCAATCTAGATGCCCTTCAATGGATGAATGGATAAAAAAATGTGGCATATATACACAATGGAATATTACTCAGCAATAAAAGAAAATAAAATCATGGTATTTGCAGGTAAATGAATGGAGTTGGAGGAGATAATGCTAAGTGAAGTTAGCCAATCCCCAAAAAACAAATGCTGAATGTTTTCTCTGATATAAGGAGGCTAATTCATAGTGGGGTAGGGAGCGGGAGCATGGGAGGAATGGATGAACTCTAGATAGGGCAGAGGGGTGGGAGGGGATGGGAGCGTGCATTGGGTTAGAAATGATGGTGGAATGTGAAGGTCATCATTATCCTAAGGACATGTATGAAGACATAAATTGGTGTGAATATACTTTGTATACAACCAGAGATAAGAAAAATTGTGCTCTACATGTGTAATATGAATTGTATTGCATTCCCCTATCATGTATAAAAAAATTAATCAGAAAAAAGAAAAATATTAATCCACAACTGTCGGTCCTTCAGTCTATTTTGCAAGAAGGTGAGAGAAAAGTTCTGTTGCATAGGGTGGCTGAGGAAAGTGCTTCCTCTCTCTGGAGGCGGGCCTCCTCACCTTACTGCTTTCCATAAGCAGTATCATCTGACCTACTATTTTTCTTGCCTTTTCTTGGTCATTTCAAGTATGGTCTAATTTTACTGATGATGTGTCTTCATCTTTCCACCTACTATTCAAAGGAGCTGTTCCTGGTGACCCTGTTAACTTTGGCAGGAGGAAGATGCTATTAAACAATTCCATTGGTCTGGTCAATCCTTCCAAGTCCTTCATTGTCCAGGGGCATCCTTCCAATTGTAGGCTATGTGAATGACATTCCGTGGAGCTCAAGGCTAGGTTTGGAGACTACAACCTGAATGCTACAGAGCTCTGAGTGATTATAGTAGCACCAGGCCTCCATCCCAGGTGGAGGCTTAGCCTGGGACAACCTCTCTGCACCTCCAGTTCTTTGTAGCTTTTTCTCTCTAGGGGATCCCAGTAACTCTGCCAAATACACACATACACACTCACACACAAGCACCGGCATCACCACCAATGATATCAAAAGCAAAATCCTCCCTACTTCCAAGGTAAAGATGCAATTCCCCAGCATTCTAGAGCTTTGCCACATTGCTTGAAAAAGAAAAGCAAAACAAGATTAAAGACAACACTCCTTTAGAGGAACTAGAGCCAAGAACTTCTTCCTCCACTCTTTCCTTCCTTATTCCTGAGGACAGGGGAGTCTGCTTAGGTGGACCAGCTTGTCAGCTGACCCAGGATTCTCCTGGTTGTGCGCTCCCTGCTCTCCTTCCTGTGAACCACTGGGTTCTACACACAGTCCATTCAGCAGCAAAACTAAGATGAATGTGGAAGAGATCACACTGCCAAACAGACTGTTATTTGAAGGTATTTGTATGACAACTATGATCCAAATTTTCATATTTGGCATGGCAATAGGCTGTAGAGATGGCTAGCATTTTGGATATGTTGGAAACAGCACTGGTTAGATAGAGAACTACTCCACAGTCCCAGCTCAGCTCATCTGCTATGTATACTTGCACAAACTAGGCTGCAGCACAATATTCCAGCTCATTGTGTGTGTGATTTTTCAGCCCTAGTGGGCAAGAAAAAGAAAACATAGCAGGTAAGAGGCAGGATCATATAAAACACATGATTTATAAACCATATGAAGAACATTTATTGAAAGGTTACTTCCCCCCTACTCTTCCTCTTCCTTCTCCCTGCCAGAAAAAACAAAAATTTAAAGCCTTTTAAATGTGTTACTTTTCCATTTTTGAGTATTTTAAAACTGTTTCCTCTCCAACCTATCAATCAGAGCATGAAACTTTAAGGCCCCTCTTGATAAATTTCATGGAAGTGGGATATTCCAAGAATCAGCAAAATCAGAGGTGTTGTTTCCTCTTTTGATAGCTCTGTAAGGGTAACTGCAGCTCACCATGATTGTTCAGGCAGAAGGGACAATGAGAGAATGGGATCCACATTGGGTTACCTCTGTGTCTGAGGCCATCTGAAGATATGGTCAATGCATGTGGTTAGTGCTAGTGATCTATATATGCACTTAGTGTATGTTAGCTCTCCTGGTGACCCCCATTGCAAGTCATGCTCTTTCTTTTGGGAGGATGTAGGTCCTGCCCTGTTCCCAACATACTGATTGCTGTGAGTCTGCTGCTTTGACCCTACTCAGGAAACCCACTCAGCAGCCTAGGTGACCTCAACTCCAGCTGAAGACATCCTAAGCCTCTTGGTGGGTTGCTGATTTCTAATGCAGACTCCCAGCTAGCCTAACATCTTGATCACCACTTCCAGTGACATCTGTACTCACTTGAGATCTTTGTCTTGACCTATGTTGTTGATCAGTTCATAGACTCGTGTGTAAAACCCTGTGTCATTGTTCCACGTGGGAGCAGGGGAAAAAGGTTCTGGACTTTAATATGGTTATGTGCTTTGTACATTTCAAGAAGAAGGTAGAAAAGGCAATTTTTCCCAAACTTATTGGACCACATATGCTCCCCTTTTGCCAAATACTTATTGATATCTTTCAAATACAATTATTCACTAAATCATGATTAGAAAAGTGCTGACATTTATATTGCTTCTCTGTTATCTAACAACATAAAAAAGAAGGTCTCAAACCCCTGGAAATTTTTTTGCTCTGAATTCAATGTGTCCAAAGAGTGTCCTGCCTGAAATTCCTAGTTCACAGTATACCCTGCTAGCAGTTAAGAGTCACCTTGTCAAAGGTTCACAAACTCTGCAAGACATTATTTCACCTATGCCAGGCTCTCTTCCTTCACTTTGAGATCCATTATTGGTCTTAGAAATGAAGAACAATGGTATGGCTAAGAATTGGGGATACTTACTTGAGTGAGTCAAGAGCGTCACTGACTGCATTGGCAAAATTGATATCCGTTGGGACATTTTTATATTCTAGGCAGTAAGTAGGTCTGACACCAAGAATCTCAACCTCACAGCCTAAGAAGGAAAAAGATAGCAAATGGTTACTCTCTTCAATAACTGAAGTGGGGTGTGAGCCTTTTTGGGGAAGTAAACATAATTAGTCAAAATAAAATGGTTGTACATTTTTATGAACTAAAATAACTTATTTTCTGACAGGTGATGCATTTAAATATAATTTTACTTAATTGGATCAGAGGTTCTTAAATGCCATTCCTATGTAACACTGATGTACCAAAACAGGGACCAGTAAAAACTGGATAACGGAAAGAAAGCACAAATTAATTAATGGACAGAAACTCCTCAATTAAAACTTTATTCCTATAGATCATTATTATGACTATGAGGTCTTCCAGTGTACATTTTTCTATTCCAGAACCAAGTGTTGGGTTGTATCTGATTAGTTGGAGAATTGTAAAATATCAATACGACTATCTTGGGGTATTACACAAAGTCTAAGTGGACTTAGAGGCACTCCACTGGATTAGCAAGCAAAAAATAAAGAGTTCAAGCAGGGGTTCTGAGTCATGACCTTGCTTCTCCCAAGACCCAAAGGCAATTCAACTATGAGAGGGGTCAGCTTTTCTGCCCCAGACTCTTGGATGAGATTCCCAATCCTATCATCAGAACACAGAGCAGGAACGGGGTGAGCCAGTCGTAGTTTATATTAGTTGGCTAAATATTTATTTGGCCCCACTACAAACTAGTAACTATGTTCAGACATAGTGGAAACAAAAGGGATCAGCCAGCGTCTCCTTCCTGGAGCATGGGCAGTCTAATCTGGTGGGAGAAGGCAGACAGGAAAACAGGACCACACGTGTAGTCTAAAGTGAGGTGCACACTTTCAGGGTGTTGTGGGAACTCAGGTGAAGGGCATTTACTTCAGGGATTGCTCCTTCTGAAAACCTTCTTTGCATCCCTGTGTGAGCCTCCATCTTGTAGAGGTCACCAAGATGATGGCGACTGGGGAGTAGGACTGGGAGGGGAAAGGCAGATAAGGAGAGCACCATGAGCCGAGGTCCAGAGAACCGTTAAACAATAACATGAAACACCCTGAAGAATCCCTTCACCGCCATAACCCTGCAAAACCAAACTCCATCCTCTCTGCCTGATATCTTGGGTTCCAGAAGGACAAGGGCCATCTAGGACACCTAATAGAGAACAAGAAGGCAGGATGCGCTCTTTTCCAAGACATGTTTAAATGGGACAAATAGGCTTCATGACCCAGGAATGAATCCTGCTCACAGCTTCCAAGAAAATATTTATTATTTTAAGAAATGCCAGTAGAATCTGGACTGCTTATATCATCTTAGATACCTGTGTTTCATCTGTCAAAGGTTATTTGTAAACTTTTGACTGCTCTCTCTCAAAGCTATTTATTCTGTGTCCACCCTGTGCTTGGTGCCAGGGATCCAATAAGACATTGCATATTCTTTAATAGTTTAAGAGCCTCATACAATGTGACCCCAGGTGACCAGGTGTCTGCTTCTGGCATCTCTCATATACAGGCATGGGAATTTTTAAGTAATGGAATTTTGACCATGATTTATAGAAAAAGAAACAGGCTGTTCTTTTGGTATTTGCACATTAATACCAAGCCATAAATGCTTTTGTATAATTAATATTAAATATTTTTGTTACTACATGTTCTCCTAATCCTTTTATCTGATTAAAATAAATCTGAGCCTGGCACGGTGGTGTACGCCTGTAACCCCAGTGGCTCGGGAGGCTGAGACAGGAGGATTGTGAGTTCAAAGCCAGCTTCAGCAATGGTGAGGCACTAAGCAACTCAGTGAGACCCTGTCTCTAAATAAAATACAAAATAGGGCTGGGGATGTGGCTCAGAGGTCAAGTGCCCCTGAGTTCAATCCCCAGTACCAAAAAAAAAAGTATCTGTACTTAACAATGGCATATTAATACAGTTTACCTGAGAAATGTATTCTTTCCATGGCTAAAGTAAGATAAAAACTGTTTTTTTTTTTAAATTGATTAATTGTAAGTGAAATTCTGTAATCATAACAATTTAGTAAAAAGAAATCCAACGACTCATAAATTAAAAAGAAAACTTTTAGGACACAGTACAGAAACACACATACAACAGAAGCAAAAGCTTCAACAGACTATGAGCAATCTGCTCAAATACATTCTTATTCCATTTTAGTCTGTTGTATGCACATTTTTCTAAAAAAAATTTTTTTTTGCTGATTAGCAATCCATAAATTTATTTTACTCTCCACTATAGATCAAGATGTATGTTTGAAAAAACACCAAAACATTACCTGCTGATGAGTCATTATCCCCCCTGGGGATATATTCAAGGACCCCCAGTGGATGCCAGAAACCAGGGATAACATGGAACCCCTTATATAATCATACGCCATATTGGTCAACAACAGATGGCATATGTGATGATGGTCCCATAATATTACATTGTCTGGTGATGTAGTGGTCATCTTAGTTTGTATCAGTAACTATGAGGTTCACACGATGAAGAAATGAACTAACAACATATTTCTCAAGACTTTATCTCTGTTATTAATCTGTGAATGATTGTGCTGTGTTTTCTTCCACACATGTGTGCCTGTGATAAAGTTTAATTCATAAATTAGGCACAATAAAATAATAGCTAATAATGGAACAATTTTAACAGTATACTACAGTAAAAGTTATGTAAATGTGGTCTTTCTCTCTCTCTCAAAATATGGTATTGCACCTTTTCATTTAAAGAATGCCCCTTATGGTTTCTCTTTGGCATGTCTGAAATTAACAATATCATTATTCTCATACTTTGGGGCCATTATTAAGTAAAATAAGAGTTACTTGAACACAAGCATTGTGATGCCATGTTAGTGGGTCTGATTACCAAGGCAGCTTCTAAATGACTCACCAGCAGGTAATATACACAGTGTGGATACACTAGACAAAGGGATGATTCACATCCTGGGCAGGACAGAACAGGACAATGTGAGATTTTTATCATGCTGTTCAGAATGGTGCACATTGTTTATTTCTGGAATTTTCCATTTAATATTTTCAGACCAAAGCTGATCACATGTCACTCAACTGTGGATAAATGGGTTTCCTATATGAAATATACACCTTGAGTCACTCTGCATTGAGACTGAAGTTGTTAGGCAATATTCAGATGAGTTTTATCATATACCCACTTTGCCTAGCAAAATACTAAGACCACTTTTCAGGAACATACTCTAACAAAACAAAGTTGCATATGCAAGCATTTTTACTACAGTGTCACTTATAAGATTGAGGACCATATAAACTTTGGTAAGAGAAGTATGTTTAAATTATGATACATCTGTTTATGTGAAGGAACACCCAACATGCAAGCATTTTTTTTAAATGTCATTTGTATTTATTGACATATTATTTTAAGTGGAAAAAAAAGACTAAAAATAATATATAAAGAATGAATTTCTTTTTGTAAATAGTTAAAGCATGTTTACATATTTAAAAAACGAGGGGAAATAAATGACAAAATGTAAGAAAGAACAAAATTTGGGTAACTGGTTGTTAGACTCTCTTTAGGGGCGGGTGGTAACTGAAATAGTGCTGAACTTCCCTTGATCTCTGGACCTGAGGCAGCCATCTTGGAACTATGAGACTACAGACATTTAGCTTCATGCTAAAACAAAGCAGCAGGATAGAAAAACTCAGGGTTTTAAAAATAATGTTGTTAAGCACCTGAACCACCATAAAGTACATCTTACATAATACAAATAAATTCTACTCTTAGCACATTCTCTATTATTTGCAACAAGTGTTTCTAACTGACACAAAATAATCATAGCTGACTTTTTCTATTTTTGTCATTCTTATCCAAATTAACCATACTGTTCCAAAACAATTTAATTCCTTCTGTAACAAGAAACCAAAAACTTTAAAAAAAATTTTTGTTATATATGACAGCAGAAGACACTACAATTCATATTACACAATTATTCATATTCAAATTAGAGCACAATTTTCGTATCTCTGGTTGTACACCAAGAACTTATTTTTAGTGATCACTTTCCAACTCCCTTCTAATATATCAATTAGAACATAAAACTCTGCTGTATGAATCTATTACTACTTGTCTGTTATATAGTTGCTGGACATATAGGTTGTTGCCAGTTCTTAAATGGTACAGATAATGCTGACATAAACACTTTTGTGTGTGTTCTTTGGTGTACCTAGGTATACATTTCTGATGGGATATATGTATAAGTAGATTTGCTAGATTTGGGGTACCTGCGTGTTGAGCTTTATTAGATAATGCCAAGGAGATTTTAACTTATATATCAATTTGCTCCCATAAGCCCCTTATGATCCACACTGTTACCAACATTTGAATTTGTTTATTTTTTAAAATTAACCATTTTCCATGTTAGGCGGTGTAGTTAGGGGTCTCTGGAGAAGCAGAACCAATAGGAGACCTGTGTGTTAGAAGAGATTTATTATGAGGAGTTGGCTTTTATGATTATGGAGACTTAAGAATCTCTCCATCTGCCATTTGTAAGTTGGACCATCAGGAAAGTTGATGGCTCCCATTTAGTCCCAGTTCAAAAGCCTGAGAACCATGAGTATGGAGAGCAGAAGATTATATCCTGCTGCAGCAATCAGGCAGGAAGAGGGAGTTCCTCTTTCCTCTGCGTTTTGTTCTGTTTGGGCCCTCAATGGATTAGATGATACTCCTTCACAGAAATGTGTCTATTTTATTTACATTTTTCAAATACATTGACACAACATATTGATCTTCCCCCTTTTCCATCTTACTATTGATTATTTGTGACTTCTCTCTTTATTTCTTGATGATAAGTTTTCTCAGTTTCATTCGTTTTACTTTATTTTTCAAAGAATAAACGTGACCCTGGGTGCAGTGGCACCAACCTATAATCCCAGCAACTGGGGAGGCTGAGGCAGGAGAATTGCAAGTTCAAGGCCAGCCTCAGCAACTTAGTGGAGACCTTATCTCAAAATAAAAAAGGGCTGAGGATGTAGCTCAGTGGTAGAGTGTC